GAGGTGGGGGAGAGGTGGCAAGAGAAAAACGAGCACTTCCTTTCCAATTCCAACATGGAAAAAGTGAGGAGAATAGGGCTGGACAGAGCTTGAGATCTCAGGCCACTTACTAGGTGTGTAGTGCACAGACAAATGTTACTCTTGGCAACTGCTCCTCCAATCTATTTTTAAAGGCATAAATATAAGAGAATCCACATTGTTCCTGCTTGGACCTCTGCCCTGTTTTTTTCAAAATCATCTTCTAGGAAACTTTCATAGTTCCAAATTTTAGACTCCCAGACTGCTGATGGTTGTACCACTTTGCTCTCCAGAAAGGAAAAAAAACCAAAAACCACTGACTCAACACTATCAAATGCCAATCAGTTTCAAAACACAGAGACAAAAATCTTAATTTGCATAGAGTTACATCTCACATAATCTTACTCTCACCTCTGAAAATCAAAGTATGTCAAAAAGTTCTTTCTGCCAGTAAATGGAGTTGCTAAGTGCTTTTTAAAAGCTAAAATGATAAGCAGCTAAACAATAATACAGCACAATTCAACTACAGCCAAACAGTGAAATGTTGAGAAAACAACCCTGGGGCTACACAGCTACGTAAGCAGATGAGCACCTCACTACTTGCTGGAAGAGATCCTTACTTCATCTTGTCCCCTAAAACCCATTCAAATACTGACTTTGATGATTCTGCTATCTTCAGATTACACTGCCCTTCACTGCAAGCATAAGAAATCAATCTACCGAGATGAAAAAATATTTCCAAGATACAAAAATATAATGTTTGGTACTTCAAAATACAGCAGTATCTTAGTCTGTTAGTCTGGCTTTGAAGCCAAGAATGTTAATATGTTGCTTGCTATTTCCTACCACACTGAGTCAGTGCATGGCTGTGCATGCATTCGCAAAGTGTTTCAAAGCTGTTCTCCATGCTTCTCAGTATGTGCTTTCCTGAGATGAAACTTCTTTTTAAAGGGAAATCTCTCAGAACACAACCAAGCACCTGACTCTGCATTGCTGCAATCAGTTAGTTACCTTAATATTTACAGCAAGATGACATGGAAAACAAACATTGTATTTTTGAATCTTGATAAGCTGATAAATCTTCAAATCAAAGCATGATATCTCAGTATCACATTGAGTAGAAGAAAAGTAAGTTAGAAACGTGAAATACTGATAATTTAACTGTAACTCAGAAGATCAACAGTAGATTGTGTACAGTTTATGAGATGCTTGCATGTTGTTGTGCTGCAAAAAAGATGGCAAAAATGGAATTTATCTCAGCCTGAGATTCTAGACATTAACATTTAAGAATTAGTCTATGAAACTTTTTAAGCATGCACATCTATTTTCATGATTTACTACCAGCTTAATTTGCTGGTAGTTCCAAGCATGTTTCCTACATGTTTTCTGTACCAGCTGCAAACATTTTCACTCATAAGAATCCCCAAACAGTTGGCTTCAGTTTCTAGGAATGGCATTTTCAGCAAAAAATCATTAAAGCCAGAAGTTTGTGCATCTAGTCAAGGTAATCAGTGTTCTGAAATCATTAATGCATAACATGGATCAATTACCTTATTGAGATCCAGACCAACGGTTAGTCAAAGATCCAGAGAATTAGCCTTTTAATTAAGAAAATACACATTGTCTATAAATAAATAAATAACATACTATGTTTCTAGAAGTCCAAAACATGGACTGTAGAGTATTTTAAATTCCTGGAGACTTCAACCAAAAGTCCACCTTGGCACCACTTGTATGTGAATGATGGGACCAAAGAAAGAGTATGCCTGCTGTCTGTTGTGATAGTAACGCAATGCTGGGCTGAGGCCATTCTCTCAGAATGGTATCATTATCCATGATAATTCTAGCTTTAGACAATGAGAGGAAAGGGTCAGTCAATGCAAGTCCCCAAAGTTGTCCCTCAGAGGCAGCTTTGCCAACAGTCTTCAAATACATCTACATCATAGCTCTGCCTCCACACAGACAATAATATAGGCTACTTCTGGAAGAAAAAGAAAAGACATTGAGTTACCATGAGATAACTGCTGTCACTGCCCCAGGCAAGCAGAAGCAAGGAAGATGGAGCTTCAACTACTGAGGCTTAATAAAAAAAGTCACCCATAACCTGTTCGGTTCTGATCTGGTCCTACAGAGGCGTGTGCACTTTTGTTTATACTGAGATGGGAACAAGTGCCCTGAAGCAGTTACTTCAGAAGTTACACCGTGTAAAGTCAGATACCACCTAATCTACTACCAATTGGACACTCTGCAGGAAAATCTCTCAATGATTTTGGAAAGCCCTTCCCACTTTTATACCTAAGAGAAATCAGTGACCTGACAATATTAGGAAAGTATTTTTGATGGATAACGTGGCTTACACACCCTTAATGATGGAACGTGACAATTTCGGGCTTGTTAGTTAACTATGCTTCTTCAAAGAAAGAAAGATCAGATTTAGATGTAAAGAAGCACAATGATACACAGAATCACAGAATGTCAGGGATTGGAAGGGACCTCTAAAGATCACCTAGTCTAATCCCCCTGCCAGAGCAGGAGCACCTAGATTAGGTCACACAGGAATGCATCCAAGTGGGTTTTGAAGTCCCCACAGAAGGAGATCCCACAACCTCTCTGGGCAGCCTTTTCCATCACTGTTTTGCATTTCCACACCTATTTCAAATCCAAGCTGCAAACAACCTGCCTTGCCACAAGACAGTGACTTGAAACCATTGTTCCAGTGGTCTTACTAATCCCTTCCTTTGCCACACATTGCAAGCTGGGGAGAACTGTAAAACCACAACATCCTGGAGAATAAAACTAGATTACATTTATTGATTTACATACTGCAGCAGAGCCCTCTGGACTCTTCTAGGAAGCATTAATGGCTGTAGAAAGATTATTAATGCAGATTCTTTTGCTTCTAATAAAGGAACAGATTCCCAGGATCAAAGAGCATAAATAATGCAGAAAAGCAAATCCTGTTCAGCCAACACAGCTGAATGAGCAGCTTGGTGCTGAGAGGTCAGAACTTCTTTCGATTGACATGGCAGGAAGACCACCACTACAACCACAAACTACCAGTATTACCAGGTGCCAATAGACAGCACAATGAATCGCTGACGCAGAGAACTTCAATCTCATCCCTAACTAAGGTAAAGCACTATGAAATCTACTTCTAGAGATAAAGCAGCACACCCTCTTCTGTCATTCGGCCTTCACAACCTTGTTGGCATCGCTCCTGGCAACACAGCGAAATAGTTCATAGTTTAATCTATTTTGAAGAAAAATGTATTTGGCCTTATGTACTATCAAAGGCTCAGGCTATCTTTATTTCCTACTATGTCCTCCGAAGTCAGTGATATTGTTTCCTCATTGGAGATATTGTTCCAAGCACACAACATTTTTATTAAGATTACCAATATCTTGCCAATCCCCCAAGGGATCGCTGAACTCAGGCAATCATAACTTCTCAAATTACATTCCACTTGAATTACCACTTCAAGACTGTAACTGTCGCGTACCAGAAAACACATTCTGCAAGCTCAAAACAAAAGGAAACTAAAAAGTATTCCACATAATTCACTTCCTCTCCACTCTCTTTTCCAGTATAGGTACAGAATCTTTGTACCTAGCCAGCAGTCCCTCGTGAAAGTCTCCTTACTTTTACAAACAGCAGGGGTTCTTCAACAATTACTAAGGTCTCCTATTGTGATCTGGACTACTGGTTTGAAACCAATTTAAATGATCTCTTCCCTATTGTCCTTAAAACAGTCTTTATCATAAACCCCTCTGCCTTTCTCCAAAGATCTTCATTCTAAAAATTTGCTTTCAACACATTTATTCTCCTGGCCTTTTAAAACAAAAGCTGAGCACTTGTACAGCTGTAATGACATAGGAAAACATGGAGACAAGTTAATCACTCTGATGACTTCTAACATTAAAACAAAAATCCTCATTTACACCACATTCCTAGGTTCTATATATAAATCCTACAACATAAATAATTCACAATAAAATTAAATTCTGAAAGCTGTAAAAACAAATCCATAATTATCTAATGGAATAGGTGTAGCTAATAATATTTAGTGATTTCTGAATGATACAAGCAGAACATTGGAATCTCAAAACAATGGAAATGAGTGAAAGTAGCAGAAAAGGAAAAATAAAGATAGTATCAGAAAGGGAAACTGTCACATCGTGTGACTGTGACTTTTAAGCATAAAGAAGTAATCCACTGCTCCAATCCATAGCACAACAGACTTGTTTCTACAGGAAATATCTAAATTCTTGGATATCCAAATAAGCAACTTGATTTCCTTTCTACTACTCCTCTCCCAGCTAACATACATATCTGTGGCTATCCAATTGCTGTAATTTACTATTCAGCAGAAGTGAAGGTCCCAGGGAAATGGCTGCAAGTTGTACCAGAGGAGGTTTAGGTTAGACATGAGGAAGAACTTTTTCTCTCAGAGAGTGGTCAGGCACTGGAATGGCTGCCCAGGGAGGTGGTGGAGTCGCCGTCCCTGGCAGTGTTCAAGAGGCACCTGGACGAGGAGCTGCGAGATATGGTTTAGTTTGTGGTAGCAGTGGTAATGTGAAGACGGTTGGACTAGATGATATTATAGGTAGTTTCCAACCTTGTGATTCTATGATTCTATGAAACACATAAAATATCTATCCAGAGGTTCTTACAACAAGCAATCAAAACCAATTGTCCCTTTCCAAAGTACTTCAGGCATTTGACTAGTCACATAAATCCTATGCGCAGCAGCTTCAAGTCCATCTCACCAGAATCCAGCAAAACACAAATGGTGACAATGACCAGCAACTATCTCAGCTACAACTTAATTATCTCCTAAAACTGAATGAACCAAACACTACAAGGATTTTAAGCCCCGCAAACTGAGGTTTCAGAGAGAAAAGGCAAGTGAAGCAGAATAGAAAACACTCCAAAATTAAAAATATAAAATATAAAAGCAAGAATAATGACCATTTCCCCCTAACAGAAGACTAACTAATGAAAAAGTGGTTTAGAGTTAGAACTCAATGTTCTACTAGACTGGGAACTTCAGCAAGTCTCATCAAGTGTAAGTTTCACTTGCTGGTTACGTAAGATTTTACATCAATTTGACATTTAAGCTAGCCTCTCAAAGCCTTGGTATTAGAAAACACAAGAATTACTTTTTTTTTTTAAAGAAGTTCTTTTTCAATAACATCTTCCATACAAAAAGCTTAGAACATCCTCAAAATTCTCCATATGGTATGCCAAATCCATTCTGAATAAAAATCTATTTAACAAGACTCAGCTTTATTTCCAAAGGCACACTGGACAGTTTACATTTGTCTTTTGGTATTCCAAGCAACAAAAGCCAAACCAACATGTCTTATCAATGAGCAAACCTATGAAAGAGTGCATCTTAATTAAGAACTGATATCTTCATATGTTCACATGAAATCCCACGTGTAAGTACCCACATAAGATCTCGATTATATCCAAAGCTCTATTACAAATTTTTAGGGTTTGTCAAAAAAGAGCAATCAGCAATCCTTTCCCCCTCCTCTGTACACCCCCTGTCCCCCCCATTCAAGATAGCAACACAAAAAGATTATTTTTAAAAATCGCTGATTTGAACAGGTCTATCATATTCATATTCATTTTCCTTACATGAAAAAAAAGAAAGTGAACCTAATCCACAAGACAGAAAGGAGACTCATGCATCAAAAGAGCTTTGCAGCAGATTTAACTTAATGGAAGATTTAATTTTAAAAAAATGGTGTGACAATTGCTAATTATTAAGCTACATCTTCAAAAGGAAATATACTACTCACAATCTCAAGTGGAACAAAACGATTTTTCTACATGGATGCAGAACTGGAGATCCTTTTGCAGAAAGCTTCTTTGAAACAGCTATAAATTTACCTTCTAGAATTTCAAGATGCAGACTGCTCACATATCCAGAACAGACCACAGAAACCACACATGTAGCTGAAAAACGAACTGTTATTCCATCACTATTCCGGCTTTTTAACTTCTTAATCTTAACCCATAGGTATTCAGGAACATGACTTAAATTGCACTTAAAAAGCAACAAGTTCTTCCTTTTCAGAAGAATAAGCAACAATTATGGCAGATCTTATATTCCAACCACAAAAGAGTTAACATTCTCTGGCCACCAACATAATTCACAATGCAAACTAGAGAACTCAATTTTCTTAGTAACAAGTAAACACATAGCCCATCTCCTTCAATATCTGTATTCAATTTTGTTTTAAAAGGATCGTAAAAGCAAACGTTGCTTAATTTAAAAGGAGATACCTTTACAAACGACAAAAAGTCAGTACCAAAGAGTCAACCATAAGGTGGAGAAACATTCACTCCACAAGTGCCAAACTTTTAATATCAAAACAAAAAACATTTATTACAATTGAATATTACAAACAACTAGTTTCCATGATCAGATGGTAAGCTTTACAAAAAATGCAAAATTGTACTTTCTGATTGTGGAATGACAGATACTCCAGGTTTACAAAAACATCTTTCTGTTTGTGCACACTTAAAAGTGATTTCCAGTCTGCTTTATTTTCAACCAAATACAGTACATTTATCCAAACAAAAGCATGTACATTCAACATAGAACATTTTGAGCAACAGCTACGGTCCAGTTCCCATTCACAGTACTTGTAGTGCAATGCACTAACAGGGCCAAATAGTTCTCTATCCATAAAAGTATTTTTACTCCTGATCTTGTGATCAACAATTTTAGATATATTTTATACAAAAAGTATATATGAACACGAGGCAGCTCCCTAAGTAAAGGAGTAAACCTATATAAAAAACACGGTATTTCTTCTGATGTACAGTACCTTTCAAACTGTAGCAATTTGACACAAATCACTAAACAAAATATTTTCTAAAATGCAAAATAAAATAAAATAAAATAAAATAAAATAAAAAATCAAAACAAAACAACCACTGTTGCACGAAACCCACCAAGAATTCCATAATGGCAGGCATGCAACAGATTTCCTAAAGTCCTGGTTAAAAGGTTAAAATAAAAAGGATCTAAAACATTTTCCAAATTATACAAATTCAAGTGCTATCTATAGTGGTCATTTATCATATCGAGAGAAAAATTACTCGGAGTTTCTCTCATACTATCCTCCCTTTTTATTAATATTTAATGAAATAAACTAACATTATAAGTGGTTGTGCACAGATTGTCTGTCTATAACACATCGACGAATATTCACTACCTTCATATTAACATTAGTGTGTTGATCTTTCAAAAAATAAATTGAAAAAATAAACTGCGACTATCATTAAAGTGCTTGTTGTATAATTTTTTTTAAAAAATAATAAAGAATAGAGGAATGTGGATATTCTTGTAAACATCCTAGATGTTTATCAAGTTGTCCAACGAACCACACATGGAAAAAATATGGACATCTTTGAAGCGACTGTGGTATAATGAAATTCAGAACGTCCCAGAACTGGGAAATTAGTCTATATGAACAAACTGATGTTATGGCAAATACTAAAAATTAGTACAATTCAGCCAATATACACTACATGTTTGCTCTTATACATTCATTCGTAATAAGTTTAAAACAGTATATAACAACAATTGCCAAAGTAGGATATCACAAAAAAAGTCAGAGCTGTTCATCAATTAGCACTATCAGGGAGGAACAGTACGATGAGCTCTCTGAAGATGATTTCCTAAATGAGGAACAAAAGTCTTCTTCCAAAGCTGTTGTTTGTCAAGTTGCCTCTGTATTGGTTATTTAAGTTCAGAAAGTTCGTGTCAAACCTCAACTGTATAGAGATAAGCACAGTTAACTGCTAATTTAGAAGCACAAGTGCATTTCAACTACAGCAGTGTTTTGGGAGGAGGCACTAACACCATGCAGTCAGAATGGATGTAATTTAGTAAGAAAACAACAGCTTATGAAGATATTTCCTCCTTATAGTACCATTATCAAGACATTAGCAGTTCCAACACCACATTAAAGTCTTTTTCATGCAAATGAACTCCAAATTTTCCGAACATCACTTGAACCTATCTGAGAAGAAATGGGAATAAATTAATACTTTGCATTTACCGGTACAATCCTGTTTTAAATTACACAACATAAATAACGTATAAGCTCAAATTTTTAATTTGCCATCAAAAGACAAAAGACCTCTTAAAATCACCATAATTCAAGGTCCAGCTCAGCTCATTTTTTTGAAGTTCCAACCCATTTAGCCCAGATTTGCTAGGAAGTCACGCACGTTTCACATTATGTTTTAACATAGCTAGGTAGCAATTCACTACAAAAGCTAAACTCGAATCAAATTACCTTCTGGGATACAGCATTTCAGAGTAAAAAGATGGAATAAGGCACATATAACTTGGTTTTCTTTTCACCAAATATGCTAAAGGGATATTTCTGAATAAAGACTTTAAAAACTCTTATAGGTATCACTAACGTCTCTCCAGTTCATTTTTGTACAATCCCCAAACCTTCAGGCATCACTCAGTCATTCTGTAATACAAAATTATCACTTACGTATATAATTTCCCTTTTTAAAAGGTTCTCTTAAAAATCAGACCATCTCTAATCCTTAATATGAAGACAACAGAAAACTAAGAAAATACAAATACAAATCCCCCCAAGTGTAAAAAAAATCCCAGTGTTCTGTAGAGGCAGAAATTAAGAAAACTCTTGGCCAGACTTGTATAAATATTTAGACTAGAACAAACAAAAAAAATTATGAGGTTCAAACATTTTAAAAAATGATTCACCAGAAGTCTCCAAACTTGTGCTTATATAAATAAATACTACCAGGATCAAATCCTAAATCTGACAAATTTTAGAAATGTCCTTAGGAACCTAACTCAAACTCATTTTAAACCAAAGAAATTAAACATCCAAATTACATTCAAAGAAACTGTTCTATGTCTTTCTGTGGACAGAACACAGACAATACACATTATGTATACATATTTATAAAATGGTAATTCTAATATGTCCATAGAGAATTTTTCTGCCAACAGCTTTTACCATGCTTTTACCATTACTTTTAATGCTTCTTCAGTGAGATTATCAAGATGTTCATTAACAGGCTAAGTAATTCAAATGAACCAAAGGCACTGATAATTTGAAACCATGCTATTTTAGAAACGTCCTTACGTTAGCTTGGTTATAATAGATGCCTTAAGGCAATTTGAGGAGTCAACTTGGTACAGGTTAATCTATATTCTACTTCAACTTCCTGCCACGATAAATTTAGAAATTAACTCTTTTCCTAAACTCTAAAAAAATGATAATAATAAAAATTAAGAAACAATTCAGACATATATCACAGTATTTAAACTGCTAAACCATAAAAATCTATGGAACAATATGTTTTTGGCAATATATCAACAAAGAACATAAAAGGCAGTGCTTTCCATTTTGTTTGGGGAAAAAGAAAAGACAAAACACTATATTTTCCTCACCAGACAACAGCTTTAGATCTCGTACTTCTGCCTTTGGTTTTGTTTTCTTCAGGTGAATGAGATACATTCGCCTTGTGGGTTTTCTTATGATGTTCTAGAAAAGCTTTTCTGGCAAATGCTTTCCCACACTTATTGCATCGGTGAAGAGAAAAGTTTTTTGTTACTTTTACTTCAATGCCAACATCAGCTCCTTCATACTTTTTATTGGGCGAATTAGAGGTGACATCGTGTTTTGAACCAATCTGTTTTGTTTCATCCCTCTGAGGGCCTCTTTTTGTCACCTTATTTAGAACCAGATCAATTGGCTTTTTTATTGCTCTAATTTCTAAACTTGCAGTTATTTTCCCAAGGTAGCGTGGTGACTTTTTATGAACTACAGTTATATGCCTTATCACATCACGTTTGCGACGTGTTTCATAAGAGCAGAGAGGACACCTGTAGTATTTAACATAAATGTTATTTCCATCTGTGTGTAATTCAATGTGCTTTGTCAAGTTCTGTTTCGAAGTAAACTGGCGTTTACAGAGTTTACAGTAAAGCTGCTTGAAGTCAAAGCCAGCTGAAAGTTTTGGCTTCCTGGTTTTTTGCTGGCCACCTGCAGCAGATGCATTGGTTGACTTAGAAGTTGATTTAGTAGTTGATTTACAGGTTGATTTAGTGGTTGACTTAGAGGTTGATTTAGGGTTTTCAAAGTCCTGTTTAACTTTATTTTTCTGTGCTGACGGTGTGTTCTTTTTCTCATTTGAATGATTTGTTCCCTTTAATTCATTCTGTGGAGAAAGAGCAATGGAAGGGGGTGAAGGTTCTACAGAATCTGCTGGTTCAACTTTTAGTTTTATTTCTGTTCCATTGGCAGTATTGTTGGGCCCTTTCTCTCTTTTAGAGTTCTTTCCAGAAAGAGTTATCTTGTGAACAATTTGCATGTGCCTTTTCAGCATTATTTGTGAACTATATTTTCTCTTGCACAGAAGGCATTTGCATGCAGTTAAATTGTATTCAGCCTTTGAAGACGACTTTTGTTTTCGGGTCTTAAAAGATTTTTTAGCAGAAACTGTATCCAAGAACAAAGGTTGCCCAGGCTTTGTAGCTATATCAGGAGTAATGGAATCCCTTCTTAATCCTCTATGGACTTCATCAAAATGCCTTCTTACGTTGGCTTTTGTGGCAAATGATTTATAACATACAGGACAACTTCTACCTAATGCTACAAGAACGTTCTTATTTCGGCCTTTTGCAGAGCACAGATTTGGTTTCTTTTTTGTTTCTATGTACTTCTTCAGCTCTTCCATCTTTTTTTTGTGTACTTTTCTAATATGCCGGCGTACACTGCGTCTAGAATGAAATTCTTTTCTACAAAGACAACAAATCAACTGGTGGCCAAAATCAGAATTATCCAAAGAGTCCACCTCAGGTGTCACCGCTGGGGGCTGTTCTTCAGGAGTAGGGGTCACCTTGTTTGTTACAGGATCAGCAGGAGGTAATTCCACAGTCTCCCCAGCTGGAGCCAGAGCTGAAACAGCCTTGGGTGGTTCGGTGCCAGGTTCCTGTATTGGTACTGGAGCTTGATCAGGAGCACTACTACTTTCTGTGTTCTCATCTGGGCTATCAGTCCTTGACACATACTGAAATACAGCATTCTGATTTGTTTCTATAGGGTCTAATCTAACTATATATTCTTGCTTATCTACTCTTGGATAGATTGCTTCCAGGAGGTCACTTATGGCTTGACTCTGTTTATCATTTATATCTGGAAGGTCTGAGGGGAAAGGAAAAAAAAAAAAAAAAAGCAAAGACATTTTTAAATGATTTGGCAATTTTGAATTAAGTTTCACAAAATTCAAAGTGACTTTCCACCACTACATCAACTCAGACAGCAAATGTGCACAATTGTTGCTATTCTTCTGATCTTTCATACATAAAGGCTTTGAGTAATCATTTTTAATAACTCAGTATAAGTTCCAACTGTGGAACTACATCCTTCCAGTGGAAGACACCTAAACTAAAAACTAGTTTGCTTCAAATTAAATTGTTCTCTAGAACTCACTATCAATTGCAAAACTAAGGACATAAGATTGCACTTGTTCTTAGATGTGCAGCTAAGTCTGAAGTATAATTAAAAACCAATTTTCCTACTGCTGGAAACAGGCATCCTCAATAAATGAATCCAATTCTGGAAACAAGCTCTTTGCCATTCACTCTGAGCAGTCCTTAAGAGCCAATGAAATGTCTGCGTAACCTGAGCAATGCATGAGGACAGACACAGATGAGACAGAACTTAACTTCTGGGGCAGTGAAAACTGTTAGGACAAACAAAACACTTGACAGACTTAGTAACAAATGTAAGGACAGAAAAATTCTGTATTATTTTGCATTTTTTTTTTTCCTACTAATTTCTCAAAACAATTCTGTGAAAGGAATTACTTCAAGAAATGACTCCACTGAGCTTCTCCAAAAGTTCATATAATGGTCTGCCCTGACAATGAGTTGAAACAGACTAAAAAAAAAAAAAAAAGCAAGAAAAGAAGATACAGTGGTTGTCCTTTATTGGCATAAGCAAAAAAGGAAACTTTGCAAGTGTAAGTTTGCCCCTGAAGTACTGTTTTAATATACTTACTCTCAAAAAAGTTCATTCCAATGTTTTTTTGAACCATTTACATTTTGGCTACTGCAGTGATGTTATGTGCATTGTATTTTTTAAAAGCAAAAGTACTGATAATCTTACTGCCTTTTTTTTCTTTTTGAGAAAGAGAGATACCCTACAGGTTTTGTATTATGAGATGAAAAACGAGATTAAAAAAATCCCATTTGCTTACAATCTATTGATGATATCACAGCCCCAAGAAACATTCTGTTTTTAAATGCTAAGTAAGTACAATGATCTAGTTTCCAGCACTGCAGGCCAAACATCAGCCCTGGCACAACTAAAATCCCAGTGCACTACCATAAAAACATGAGGCACTGAGATGATACCATTTTAAATTCCCCACAATGATTTGAAGATCTCCTTCACAGCAGCAACTTAATTCAGAGCATCTAGTATTATTCTTTTTCTTTGGAGCACATAGCATTATTGTTTTAATTTGTACCTTTCCTAGTGAACAGTGAACCGTATAAGCCAAGTAGCCAATTAAAGGAAAGCTAGACTGGAAATTTACTCGGGTTAATCTTATTTTGCTTAGACATTCCTGCATTTAAGTCACATGTACTTATAATTTCATAGTTTTTGAAATGTTGAGGTACAAAGACACTAAGGAAGAAAAATCATCATCACACCAATGTTGATGAAGCCAACAAAGACAACCATGATAACAAAAAAAGGTTTACAAAACACTTTAGATGCTGGCATGTTTCCCAGTTATTCAGCTTTACCGAGATCAACAAATCATTATCACTTGAAATGAATATTTAGTAGTTGTGGGTTTTTTTATGCAAATACATTCATTTTTTTTTTCCTTTTAGTTACTTTTAATAATAAAGTTTACTCTCTACAGAAAAGAAAGTGGGCTAGACATGATCACAGAAATGCCCCAAGAACACAGAATAGTTCAGTTGGAAGGGACCTTCCAAGATCATCAAGTCCAACTGCCTGAGCACATCAGGGCTAACCAAAAGTTACAGCATATCATTAAGGGGTATTGTCCAAATGCCTCCTGAATGCTGACAGGCTTGGGGACATCAGCTACTTGTCTATCAAGCATGAGAGATGCTTGACCACCCTCATGGTAAAGAAATTTTTCCTAGTGTCTGGTCTGAACTTCCCGAGTGCAGTTTTGTGCTGTGCAGGCATCCTGTCTGGTTCCCAGAGGGAAGATGGAGGTGAAGTGGAGGTGAGAAAGGAATACAGTGTAACTGAAGAAAAAGTCTTCAAGAAGGGCGATTTCTCAGTCTGTGTTTCATGACTAACAATGAAGGATTACATCTGTGATTACCAAATACTTCCCAAGTACAGGAAAAAATGACACACATCACCCACATCACTCTACATGATCCAGCCAAACTCTTTTTGAACTCTACTGATATAAAACCGAAATGCCTGCTTAGATCCAAGCTTTTCTATGAGATTCAGTTTCCCAGACCACGGTGAGCTTTTCACTGTCTTCCACAATAAAAAGAGGAAAAAACAAAGAAGAAAAAGTGGAAGAATTAAAAAAGAATTAAAAATCATTAACAGTGACATCTTTCATTAAAGCACTGGGCCTATATTCATGTCTGATTATATTCATGTTTGATTATTTTATGGGTCTGTGCTGTTAATGCATATTCATTCAGCACTGTAGCTTCTTTTCTACCATAAAGGTTATCAACAAACGTTACCGTTTAAATTTAATACCACATCAGTTTTCTGCATCTTGTTTCTTGTGCATTTGTACGAATGGTACAAAAAGGGAAGTTTCTAAATTTCAGGTGGCTTTATTAGATACTACAATTAGGAAAACTTACTATCATCCATCTGAAGACTTGGAGGACAATAAAACTTTTTATGAGTAATTAAATTTGGTAATCCCCTGAAGAGACTCCGGCACAATTTACACTCAAAAATGGTGTCCACATCTTTCAACAAGATATGCTTAAGTTGTTTAGTTCCTGTAATAAAAGAAACATTATACTTAAGGGAGGTTTTCTGTTCATTTTTTAAACTCACATCATCACATGAAAGCAAAAGCATTTTATAACACAACCATATCAGCATTTCATCTTGTATTAATGCTATTTCACTTCACAGTTTATGATATGTAATCAACTTCCATTATGAAAATAAGCCTAGTTTGAAATAAACACATAAAAATTAAAGTTTACACATATTACAGTTTACAGCAAACAGACAGAAGAATGACTTAGACCAAAACCAACAGCTAACATTAATAGGGATTCCATGGTACAATATCTGGTTGCTGTAATACAATTTTCAATACAAGGAGGGAATAAGCACCTAGAGAGTTTAAAAAAGCTCATCATGTTAAGAAAGCAATAAATATGCAGCTATTTCACATAATAAATTATGAGGTAAGAAAAAAAAAACTATGCAGTGTATAATGAAGCACAAAGAGCTAACATCAGTATTACTACATCCAGGCATGTGATACAAGATAAAGTTGATCATACTTATGAAAGAAAATAGAACTGGAGACATATTTTATTCTTTTTGCAGGCTAAAAATAACTCAGAAAATTTTCCCTTACAACACACATTGCTCAACAAAATGTGCAGGTTTTCCAGACTAGTGTACACACATGCATCGTATATTGAAAAATAAAAAATCCAAGCACACAAGAAGTTTGATCTAGCACTGTAGGTGTTTTCCATCTCCCACCTTGCTTAAACTTTGGATCTTTTGTTTACATTACACTTGAAATTCATTCCTTCATTTCACATCTCACTAAAACTATGCACGTAATGTCCACAATGAGCAATGAATTACTGAATGATGAATACTTACCATGCCAAACCAGAAGGAAACACTGGCTAAACAAATTCAGCTAATTGCTCTAACTTGATTTTATTTTTAATAGAGGAACAAAACAAAATTAATCTAAATTAGTCAAAACAGCAAAACTATAATGAAAGTTGGCAAAGTATGTAACAGACAACTAAGAAACAGTAGAAATGGCATCAAGATACATACTTCCAGCTGAAGCAGAAACTCAAGGTTTTGGTCAATGTGGACAATTAAGGATTCCATTTAAAGATCAAACTTAGTCACACTGCAGAATTATGTCCCAAACAAAAAGCTTGTTCAAATTTAAATAACTCCATAATTGTTCTTCAACATGAACAGACTTTAGCTAGTTAGCTTTCTATTTCTAATAATGCTATAAATCTTTTTATAACTGCATTTTAGTAAAGCACAATACCTTCTTCAGTTGCTTAAAACCAGGACCCAAACTTAACTATCTGAGACTACCATCCAAATTTTTTTTCTGCATAAGCCTTTCCTGGGCCACTGTCCTAGGTTCTTGTCTTTTTCTCTCACTGCTCTTTCCCTCAAGTGTTACCAACCTAATCTTCATCTGACCTGCATTTCTACAGACAACAGACCACTGGAAAAATACTTGCATTTATTGAAATTTGACAACTGCATAGAGTTCTCCTAAGGAAACATTATTTACTGAAATCTCATCCACAAATACTTCAATTCCTGCATATAAAGAAAATAACATGAAAACACAGCTGAACAGAACTGAACATGCTCCGTGTAGATGAAATTCCAGTAAGTCACTACCTATAATCCAAATAAAAGGCCTCAAGCTTGGTGTCAGTACACCATGAAATAAAATTTGACTTGTGCTGTCAGTGCATGTCCTAGATATAACTTTTGAATGAAAAAAAAAATCATCTAATTTACCTCTCCTTCTTAATCAATCCCTCAATCCCTCTCTCCCACCTCTCTCTCAATAATGAAAGCTCATTCTCTTCCACTCAGTACTGAAGGACTGTCTAATTCAAACTATCAGCCTTAGGAATTTTAAGGACTTATACTAGAGGTCAGACTAGATGATGCAGTGGTTCTCTGGCTTCAAATCTTTCTTATGTCGTGAAGATTTCATAAGAGTTAATTACTTATTATTAATAGGTCCTTGTGGATTATACAATAGACCTTTCCAAACTCCTGGAAACAGAAAATAAGTTAAAGCAAACACTGGTTTTATTGACTCATCAGGCAGAGAAAAAGCAAGCATCTGCACATTCTTCACGAACAACCGATTGTAGAAAGGAGCAGACAGTTTTCAGCCAGCACATGCTTCCTCCAGCTTACCACAGCTTTATTTCATAGTTGCATTTCACTGGGGCAAGCAATACTACACTGAATCATGTTAATAGCTGTGGATGTAGGTGACAGAATGCATCACTGTCAAAAGAAACTGATACAGAGTATCGGTCACTGCAAACAATTCTCCGGCAGAAACGGCCAAGGTTAGGCCCTCAGCAAGCAATTTCACTTTTCAGAAAAATCTCAGCAGTTCACTTTCTCATAGGAGAACATTCTATTCTATAACAGCACTACAGAGTCCAGAACTTCAAGGCCAGGCTGGATGTGGCTCTGGGCAGCCTGGTCTGGTGGTTGGCGAGCCTGCACATAGCAGGGGGGTGGAAACTGGATGATCATTGTGGTCCTTTTCAACCCAGGCCATTCTGTGATTCATATAAGAATGCTGTTTACTATATTACGATTTTGTTGTATTTGAATCTAACATAATTAGAAAGGAGTTACTAGTTAATTTGTTATCCTTAACGCTCTGCAAGACTGGAGAAGACTTCTGCTAAAACTGCTTTCATGCTAATGGCTTTAAGCTCTGTTTCTTTAAGGTTACCATAAGAATCAAAAGAGCTCCTTAGCAAAATGAAAAGTTGTGTGTTCAAAACTAACTTGCAAAATCTTGTTCCAAGTTGTTTTGCCTTCTGTGCAACTGCCATGAAGACAACAAGGTAAGCTATCAATTTAACAAATGTCAGAAAGGACAATCTAGTAGCACTGCAAGTAGTCTGCCTTGAGACAGACTACTTGCAGTGCTACTGCCAACTGAAATACCATAGCCTGCTTCAAGTCAAAGAGGCCTGCCACACATATTTGAGGCTTTATGCCAATTTCATTCAAACAGTCAAGCTTATAAATAAGGTTGCTAATGATGACTCTCATATCCAGTTTTCTTTTTTGTATGAAGTTTTTAAATGCAGGTGGAGAACATACACAATACTGTGTCATTCTACAAGACTCAGACCAGACATGCACCCCATTGCATACCAGCAATGACTTATATGTGAAACACCTACTTCATAGACATAAAGCTCTGTTGCTTTACGTAAAATCTTTTTACGTAACTGCTTAAAAGTACAAACTCAGTGTTCTTGCACTAAGTTTGCTTTGCCACATCAGAATTGTAGAACCAGCTTGAAAGCATTACAGGTTTCAATCACCGTTGGTACGCTCATCCAAACACTCAGCTGTTATCCTTAGGCTCACTGCTATGAATTGCAACTCCAAAAAAAAGTCAAGGAACACCATAAAAGTAATATGATACAGCAGTACTAAAAAGTTCAAGGCAAATATTGAATTTTGTCTGCCACTCAAGAGTTTTAGGATGAATTCATTAATAACAGCTGCAGGGATGACATAAAGCAGAAGAACAAGCTATTTCTTTTAAAAAAAATGGTTTTTAAAGATGATTATACAGCATTAACTATAATTTGACCAGCGTACATGGAAATCCAGACAAAAAGAAATATCACTTAATACCAAAAACCCATCAATATTTTGCAAATATGCACAACATCTGGTTTGATTCTTTGTTTTGTTTAAATATACACTAAATATACCCTAAATAAATAACTGTTAAAACAAGGTAATAAACTTTTCTAAGAGTTAAGTCACAGCTTTATACCTGATCGAAAACACTCGATGATTTGCTGAATACCAGATTTTGATGTTTGCAAAGGCTGCTGTAATAACGGAGGATCACCAGGTTCCAATATATGCACTGAAATACATAACAGATAATAAGTCATTTAAGAAAGCAAAGATGATTGTTATTAAATTATAGATTTTCAAAGCACAGAGTAAGCTAGCTAAAGAGAAAGGCCAAGAATGCAGTACAAGTTGTCTTAGGCAAAAACTCTCAACAGTGAATTAAAAAAAAAAATCAGATAGTGACTGTTCCAGACATGACACCTTCTGAGAGTACGCTGTCATCTTGATTAGTCAAATCAAGAATGTATTCAAAGCTATGAGTATCAAATATAAACATACTAAACCATGCTGACTCATCAGAAGTTTCCATCAGTTACAGCAGCTCCCCAAAACAGCCTACCTGACTCCCATCTTTCAAACCAAAACAACAAAGCAGATGTACAAAAAATTACTAAACATCTCTTCTGAATGTACTACATTCAGTGCTGTCACTCCCCCCTGAATTCACATCCATTCCACCATGATCAGAACAAAGCACAAGCATATCTAACTAGTACGGTCCAAAGACAGGTACCATAATAGTTTTCCACAATAAAACCCCATTCAAAAAATGCTTCTGGATCAAGCAAACTGCAGAAGTAACAATTTGAAATCTCATGTTACATTGGAATCTTCATAAAACCTATTATAAGATTTACCCAGCAAAAAGATTATTACTTATTCTGATACACAGCGCTCATGCACACAGAATTAACAGCATTCTGTTGCTGCATTATCAAAAACCAACCAAGCCTTGCTCAGATGGAATACCAAATTTACATGAATACCAGCACTTAAGCACAAGTTTGCAAAAATTACTTCAGTCATCTTTGTTATTAGCAAAACTAAACTTGAAGCTCCCCCGTTGGCTCCTCCATTGCCCATTCTATGAGGCAATCAGCCCATTTCTAATGGCAGCACAAAGCAGCTCTAAGAAATTCATGTTTTAGTAAAGAGCACTAACAGCATTGTGAAAAACCATTTAGGTTTTCCAACTGCAAATAGACTAAACGCAGGAAATGCAGGATGTAAGGTTACAAGTAAATTCAAACTGAAAAGAACATCAGAAGAAAAAAGCAGTCTAAGAAAGGAATGATAAAATGAACACACCACGCAACTGTGCTGGCCCCATAATATACTGTTATATATGAACATGTAACAACCATTACAAATCAGCTAATCGTTTAGGGATTTCTAACACAATGACATATTGTATTCTACTAGCCCATTCTATCTTCTCCAAAATAGTGTACTTTGGGTTGCACACTGCCCCTAACATGCATATGCAACAGCCACTGACATCGAGGAGCGACATACATGAAGCAGGCATCACACATCACTGTCATTTGTAGGGCAAGAAAAGTATTTTAGCCTTTATAAAACATGAAAACAACTCAGAGCCATTTCATCTTAAACAGAAAAAATGTTTCTCCTAGCTGAACAGTACCTTCTCTCAAATTACATTTAATTAAAGGAGTATTATCAAGCTGCCACACGCAGACTTTCATGTACTAATTCCAAAAACAGATGCCTTTCTTTTTCAAATGCAAGTGAAAAGCATCCAAATAACAAATTCTACAGTAAGGCAAGAAGAAAGGAACCAAGTTTACTTATAGGCTACCAATTGTAACAGCGGGCATAACAATTACAGAAAATCAAGCGAGCTAGCTGAAACTTTCAAGCACTTTCTACTGGCAGCATCTCCCACGTCATACAGCAGTGGGATGCAGACAGGAGGTTTAGGACTTTCAAGGGTTTTTTTCCCCCCGCTTGACAAGAAGATCCTTATGCTCATCTGAGCTCATCAGCGGAGGGACAAAATAAAGGGATACTCAAAGAATGCATGAGATTGCCAGAAATGTCATTTAACAAGAAAAGAAACTGAAGACAGACCAAGATACTCCACTTCCCAGAACAAGAACACGTGGAGTCTTCACATGTTTTCTCGCCTGCCTCTGACAGGCACACAGCGCCCACCTGGAGCCACGGGTTACAAGGAGGAGTTATCCCACAGAGCAGGCTGAACTCGAGGGCCCCTACGGACAGCTCCAGCAGAATCAGGACCGCGGCACGCCCCGGCCGCCCCCCGACGACGCACAGCTGTCACCCCCGGGCTCCCGCAGCTCCGCACGGCCGCCCCCGCGCCGTACCTGGCTCGCAGCAGCCGTGGTGGTGGTGCTCCGTCTGACAGCACTTGTCCCGCAGAGGCATTTTCCGTGCGCACGACCCGCGGTCCTTCTACATGCGGCGGCTCGCTCCTGCCGAAACGAGCAGACGGCCGTCAGCTCCGCGGAGCGAAAGCGCGAACGCCGCGCACCCGGCTCCGCGGCGGCCCCCTGCGCTCGGCCCTTCCATTGTTCGCAGCGGCTCTCCCGGAGCGCACGGCCCCGCCGCTCCCGCGCGGCCCGGCCCGCTCCAGCCCCGCGCCCGCCCGCCGCCACCTGCGCCCCGGCCGCCCCGCCGCGCTCCCTTCCTTTCCTTCCTTCCTTCCTTCCCTTTCCTTCCCTTCCCTCCCTCCATCCCGCCCTCCTCCTCCTCCTCTCCCCTCGGCCGCGCTCGCTGCCCCGCGCCGCTCCCTGCCGCCACCTCGCAGCTCCCGCGCGACGGAAGGAGCGGAACCGCGCGGCCGGCAGCTCGCTGTGCCGGGCCGGACGTGAGGGAACGGAGCGGAGCGAGCGGCGCGGAGCCGCGGCCGGGAGAGCCCGCCGGGCCGCCACGCGCCAGCCGCGGGGAGGAAGGGACGGGCGGCGGGCGGCAGGTGACAGCGGGCGCCGAACGCCGCCGGCGGCGGCGGCAGGGAGCGGCGGGCGGACCGCCGCGGGACCGCCGCTCGCCGTCCCCTACCTGGGAGCGGACGGGCGGCCTCCCCCGCCCCGAACTCCACTTTATTCGCCCCTGTCCCGCCAGAGCGGCGGCCGCTGACCCCGGAGCCGGATGGGCACAGGGGCAGGAAGTGACTGCGGCCGTGGCGGCGAGGGGCCGCGCGGCGCGCAGTGCGCAGGCGCCTCTCGCCCGCCGCTCCCCCGCCCGTGCCGCACAGGTGCCGGGCGGCGGCACGCGGCCGTTGGCGCCGGGCTGCGGCCGAGGGAGCCCGGCGTCCTGCCCGCAGCCGGGGCTGCGCGGCGGCGCTCCGGCGTGGCGCCGTCCGGACGTTGGCGGGAGCAGCCGCCGTCGCTCGCGGCGGTGCCGCTGCCCCGTCGCAGCCCGGCCCGCGTCGTTTGAAAAAGTTGTTGATGCGGCTGAGTTGCCGAGAAGCAGCGTGGATCGATGTTTTCCGCGCCTGGAGAACGGAGTGATTCGCTGAGAGGTTTCCGCGACGTGCAGTGCAAACTTCGGCAGCCGGAGACTGGAATGGTGCTAATCGGTTTTTGCCATAAAGTTTGTCAAACGTGTGAGACTTCTTCCTCGTCATGAAAACCTTCCTTTGCGTAAGAAAAATCATTTGTTAGGAAATGCAAGAAACAAACGCATCGGAAATGGCTGAGGGATGGTTCCGCCGCGGAAATGATGGGTCAGGCTTCGGCTTGTGTGGAATTGCTGCGCAGTGGAGACGGGACTCACGGCTTCAGACGGTTCGAAGTCGAACCTGCTGTCCATGCCATGCCTCGGTCGTGCTGTTCTTCACAGCAGCCTCTGGGAGTTTTTGCAATCTCCAGCCACCGGGTGTAAGCAGTGCAGTCTTTTTATTAAATGCGGGTATCTGTATTTAGTAACAGATCTCCAGTAACTCATCTGTTTCTGAAGCACAAGAGGCAGAATTCAAACCCTGCGAAGTCCAATTAATGAACTTGAGGCACCCTACATTTCAGAGAACAGTTTGAGCAGTCTTGTGTCAGGAAGGATCCCAGCAGACCTCAGCTGAAACCTTCACGCTACTCATTCAAAAATGGGTCTTGGTGTATATCCAGAAGTGCTCTTATCTTGATGAGCTTAGCTACATCCTGAGCTCTGCTGCATTTTCACACAGACAGGAAAAAGGTTGAACTCCACCCAACCGTGTCACTGCGCTCAGTCCACACACAGCACACTTGGGTAACACTGCACTGCTCGTGGGTAACAAAGTGCCAAGAACACAGCCATCAACTCCTTTCTGTGCCTCTGCCCCCTGGCAGCAGCATTTGCCCAAGAAGTAACGAACTTAGAGAATTAACATCCCCCACCTCCTAGGAGAGGTCAATATCTGGTTGAAAATAAGATCACCTCCTATTCTTGCAGTGCCACCGGATACAAGGGTCAAAAGAGGAGGATCCTTTTGTCTTAAATGCAGATTCATAACTTTGTATCCTAATCTTAAGATCAGAAAACAATGGAAGTGTTGCATGCTTGTATGAATCTGTATCTAAGCTGTCATGCTTACAATTTGTTTCTGGCTGGAAGGTGCTCATTTGTACATTGCTACATTTAACTCATTATATACTTCATACAATAATCAATTAGAATGGTTAAGCAAACACACCCAAGCTTTGATCAGTCAGAGAGCCAGTCCAGTGCGAAACGACTTACAGTCTAACAAAGCACTGCTGCAGCTAGCAATGCAACAGGGTAAATGGGAGCCCGCATTCAATTTCAGTTTCATTGTTTAATTAAAAAATAAGCAGATGATGTTTCCCAACTTTGAAACATTTCACCATTTATGACACTGAACATAAAGACTGTGCTAACTGCTAACTAATTAACTTAGGATAGTTGCTGCTAATTAATTAATGCCTATATCTAGGCTAAGAATCCACTACAGTTGGAGCTGGGGTTTGACTCACTTCCTTTTAATGTTTTCATAGATGCTGCTAAGAGGTGAATGCCCATGATATAGCTCAGTGTAGGTTTTGGTAGATCTGTGAGCACGTCCCAGACAGTACGCCTAGGCATCTAAGCCACGGGGCAGTCCAGGCTGCTAAGTCTCTTTTGTTTTTTTTCTCTGACTTCCTTATGACAAACTTATATAGCCAAGCATACCAAAAGAAAGAATAGTATAAGCTTTGTTACTGCTGTTCCCTTCCACAGCACCCAAGTTGCTTGTGCTATATTGCATTCTCCAGGTTTGCCCACTTTTGCTTTCTAAACTTGAAGGGACAGAGCCTCAGGTAATGACAATCTAAATGACATTAGATTATGAGTGCTGTATTTTCTCTTGAACATCCTTCTTAATACCTCAACTAACAAAATATGACATTCAGATCATTTTTCTGACTTGTCAGGTGCTGTTCGTAAGTCCTAAAAATTCATAATAGATGTTCTCAAATTATTCTATACTTATTTGCTGTTTGTGAGCAAACCAGCACTTTTATTTGGACCACCGCAGTCTCAAATGAAGCACTTGTCATTCATGATTTTTTCTATTTATACCTGAGAGAATTAATACACTTTTAGCGTCCAAAGCAACCTGTGGCAATGACTTCTGCAAATTTAAGTACTTGTGGATTTCTTTATGTGTCAAATATGCTTCCTGATAAATTAGTTGCCTACTATTTCCTGTAGGAGTTCCTGCCAAAATTATTAATGAAATATTCTTGCAAGAATCAGTAGAAAAAGGAAACCACAGGTATTTTACTTAACAACACGTTCAGCAGCCCTCCGTAGTGCCTAAGATTTTATTCTATCCCAGCTAAGTTGCCAGTTATACAGACTGGGAGTTCTGGTTCAATTAATCTTCCTGTGCACTGAAGCTGTCCTGGCTGCCATTCTCCCTGGTTTTGGTAGTTCTGTGGTATCATTTGTAAGGGGAAATCTTTAAAAATATGTATGGTATCCAAAGAACACTCATATTTCTCAGCTAAACCACTCATATTGTTAAAAAGCACAGGAAGCTCTTCCATATAACCAAGAGAAGGATGAAAATCCTCTTGATTCATTTCATGTAAATTCTAGACATAAAATAAGTTATTGGGTAGGTTTTTTGAGCTTTTCTCCTCTGAGCAATGTTCTCAGCATAACCTTTAGGCTTTTAAACAGCACCTCTGTTTATTGCCTTTTACATGATATGGAACTGGGGACATGTTTAGATCTGAGAGTTCTGTTACAACTTGATGATCAAATTCTTTTAAAGTTGTTTCTCCTATGGTTAATGGCTTTGAGAAATCCAAAATTCAGAGCAATTTCTCTTAGTTACTGGATTGTGTTTCCAAGATGTATAATGAGCTATTCTAGCAAGGGAGGTATTTTTTAGTAGAGGATGTCGAAGCATTGTTTCAAATAGTTTTTTAAGTAGGTTTAGTGTCCACTGAGAGGTTTTGTTCTGCCAAAGGGCTGGTAGCAACACCTGCTGAGATATCTTGCCATCTGTTTATACATCCACGAGCCATAAGATTGGATTATTAAAACTTTTGCTCATATCCTATGACCACCATTTTTTTTTTCTGTATTTGGGTGTATTTTGGATGAAGTACCTAACTTCACAATAGCTTTCCCTACTAGAAAGTAATTCTAAGCTAAGTTGGAATGAACTGCACTGAGCCGAGCTCAGCTTTGCAGAGATAAAGGTAGAGTTCATAAATTCTGAAGATCTCTCACAAAATGTACTCTAGTCAAACAGGATCATGGATCCCAGTCATAAAATGTTTTACTGCATATACAGATATTCTAGCATTCCTTAATACATTGCTCTTCATTTGTATTACTGACTTGGTGTGGCCTCATATGCTGCTCTTACTAATGGCATCCTTCGATGAACTGTTCATAAGCTCCAGATTAAACAAATTTTAGACATGGAAGTCTGAGAGCAATTCAGGCTGTTTCAGGCACATTAAGGCTCCTTTGTTAGTGTCTCTGCATCCCTGATGGCCAGATGGGTGGAACATTCACCAAGGAAGAAGAAGACCTTGATTTCTAAATCCTAAACTACAAGTTAGAGACCCCTTTTGTTAAGCACAAGGCGCAGTTCAATCAGGAATGCAGGAGCTAGGGGGCTAAAAAGGGACTAACAAAGACAGGCTGAATCTATTGAGAATGCGATTAACTTGGAGAGGGGGAAAACAATACTGAGATCTGCTTGCAATTCCCAGAGCTGTTTATTTATTTATATCCACTGATGCTTAAATGGGAAATGCATAAACAAGTCTTTAGAGCACAGACATGTTGACTTTCAGATAAAGGTGGGATCATTGAGACAACTCTTTGTCTTGGATCAGTCACTATGAAAAAGTACATTAAGAGTTTTCATGCACTACAAGTGAACTAGTTATCCCCATAACATAGCTCAGATACAACTTGCTTACAGTATTCCCAGTTCTAAACTTCATATATTTGTATGCTCCTGCTTTTGATGAGATCCCAAAATTAATTCATTTATATTTGCATCAGTTCTACATTTTCATGATTGCAAAGTTTACACTACCCTTATAACGTAGCCTTAGTAGAATCTTACAGATATTCTAGATATATTCTAGATGTTCTAGACCTTCTGAATCTTAGTCAATACATACTCCAGTCTAACAAGTGGCAGCATGCTCTGTTCCCCAATTAACACAAAGCTTCATTACCCTTTGGGGATAAAAATAAACTGCTATGTGTATTATCTTACCCATAATTCATTTATTTACAGAGTTAGTGAAACTCATAATTAACTAGACCTCTCATGGGGTCTAATTTCCTTCTGTTCTTTCTGGCACACTGGTATAAAGTTCAGCAAACAGAACAATTTGCAATGCATCTCTCCCGTAGGAGACTCGTGTCATCATCTGATCACAGATTCAACCTCTTTTATTTTTTCCTTTGTACCCTTCAGCTTAGATTCCTAGTTGCACAGTGATCCAACTTCGCATGGAGGCATGAAAGAATTCTACCACAGAATTACATTATTGGAGATTCATGATCCTTGAGGTCCCTGGCCATTGTGGCTTTCTTTTGGCTTTTGTGGCTTGGACAGGTACACTGTTTGCTGGGTAAAGAACTGGCGGAAGGGCTGGGCCCAGAGAATGGTGGTGAATGGAGTTAAATTCAGCTGGTGACAGGTCATGAGTGCTGTTCCCCAGGGTTGGTATTA